ACAGGTATTGAAAAGGACATTGTAAATACCTTGACAATCGACCACGAAAATTCCCACAAAGACGAAACAGTTTAATTAATTGAACCGAAACTAGAATGTTAAAATTTGTCATAGTGGATGACGTTAGAACTCTTTCGCATCCGAAACATCCGAGTCAAATTCAGTTCGTTCGAATACATTGCAATGAAAATGAATTTTCAAAATTGGTCAAACATTAGTGTCACCCATATGTGACCGACGCAGTGCTCAATGTGTTAAAAAAGATTATTTCTTCGTCTTGTAGGGAAATTCATGCGTACGTATTTGCACCATTTAGTTACAGATCGCCATTGAATTTTCGCGACAATAATAATGACGCGTTTCACAATTCCTCAAAACGTTCCCACGAATTATCGTCATTAGCGACTACTTTACTACATTTGAGCATGCATCGCTTCAGGAATAATAACAACATCGATTAACTTTAACCGCTCGCCTTACTTTGCCGAGTCTGACTCGCGTGATGGAGATTTCTAGTAATAACCTGTTAAGTATGAACGTTCTCATCAACATTTAACCCTTTCATAGGCACTGGGAACTAAGCTTCCCGCCCACTTTTAGTGCGCATATGAACACCAGGCTCAAATATTCCCACCGTTGAATATGCTGCGATCCACATACATATAGATCCCATCACCCCTAATTTTGAAGGATGAAAAATTAAAAATAACAGGAGAGCGAATAACAGCTGTATTACTATATGATAAAATTATGATAAGTGAATATTTCAATTCTTTTGAAAATTCATATTGTGCCCGTGAAAGGGTTAAAAGTTCAAGTAAATGTAGGCATAGCATAAATATGCATGTTCTTCTTCTTTTAGAAATTATTGCAATCGTAAAGCAATGGTTAGAAAACCATTGTAACTGTGATAAAATGGTAGGGCAAGGAGTTGATCTAATTATTGGATAGGTGTATTGGCTCGACTGTTGGAGCTGGAGGTGGTCTCGACTTGCGCGATGTTCGTCGAAAACAAGAAAATGTGTGGTTCGACCGTTGTAACTAGAGTACTATGTGGACTTGCGATGGTCGTCCAATAATATGGGATGATCGTAGGTGCGATGTGGAAGCGAGAGTGAAAACGTATGTGACCCCAACCGGTGGTGAGAAAAAACAGGCCTGACTCGCGATGTGCAGGCTCTTTTATCGAGGAGGTTTCCGTGTTCATGACGGAGAAGTGCACTGATTGGTTTTGCTGGTCGTTGCATTTGCCCAATCAGTGACTTCTTAATCCTTCGCCAACACCCTCTCGTTACGCCCTGAGCGTGTCTTGTCTCAGAGAGGGTATGAGGATTTATTGCCGTCATCGACGAAGCGGCGGAAATTCCTCCAGGTCAACTCACGGTGGCCTCGGGTACAGCGGTAGGCACTCGAGATGACCCTTCGGAAATCCCAGATTTATGACACTTATGGTTATTGAGGAAGACGGCGATGAGGTTCGAACGCCACATGGCTGGTAGATGTAAAAAGTCTTGTTCTCAAAAATAACCTTTGTCACGTCCGTGTCATAAATCCCGTCGACGGAAACTCCTCGAGGTTTGTTCCTTCGGGACGGAACAATAGGTTTTTAACTTTGCAAGGAATTGTTACGAATGCGACATGTATTTCGTACCTGACTTTTGAAAGCTTCGCTATAATTTCGAATATAGACTTATTTTATAAACAAAACCGTGTTAGTGCGTATAAAGTACCAGGCTCAGTAAGCAAAATACAGTAGAGACCCCTTTATCTGAAAGTTTATTTTTCTAATATCCTGTGTGTGTGTGTGTGATACCAAAGCATTCTATTATCTAAAAATCTCCATTAAGTGATAATGTATTAAATAATACACAATGATTAGATTATAGAAGGCTTAGAACCAGAATATTGTAAAAATAAATGTTCGGTGAAGGGAATCTCTACGGTAATACTGAAAGAAAGTTCAATAAGAACGATTGCGAAAAAAATTTTGTAATACATATTTACTATTTAATTACTAAACTGCGGATCTTTCTGCAAAAGAAGAATTACTAAAGTTAATTGTAAGAAACAAATGAAAATGTCATTCCTCTTTTAATGAATATAATAAATTGGAAATAATGTAACAATATCCTTAAATTTTTTCTGATGTCTTTACAGTTTAGTATTTGAGCTGTTCAATTTTTGTCACAAATGCATAGAATCCACAGTCTATTGTTTACATGATAATTGAAGAAGTTAAGTTTTTATTTCACTGCCCCATTCGTGGATATTAATGTCCCTTCCAAAACCACCAATTTATAAAAGAATCAAAATACACTCTTTGAAAAGTCGAATAATATTACATGTAAATGTAAAAGCACGTTCTACTGCGTAGATTTATGATCGTACAGATGACCTTTCCAACGATACCAAGTAAAAGTAGAACGATTGTTTAGTTTCTTTTCCATATCGTATTCGAAACAAAAGTATCCCTTTCAAGCCACTTCTCTCCTATAAACCAATTTGCAGACCATTATCGAGCCGTTGTAACTGTACTTCAAATTAAGGAGCCTTTGACCCATTGCGTAGGCCTTTGGCTACACCATCAGCTGCACTATACCGACAATTTGGAACGGAATCAAATTCGATGTATACTTACGAATCCGAGTCACATTCAATGACCGGGTTTCGTTTTATGGGCCTTAAGGACTACTCAGACGTAATGAGATTTCAATGAGCGCGCTCGCAAAGTGATCATTTCATACAAGTCGATTTCAAACAGATAACCGATTGAGCTCGGGAACGCACACGTAAGTAGTTCGACGTTAAAAAGATTCGAACTCTTTGCAAACCGTATAGCGAACTCCACACGCGACTTCTGAGAAAGAGATCTGACAGTCGTGTTCAGTTATCGATCTCTTCTCTCCGATTCCTTTTTTCACTGCTGTTTCTGCTGCTACATTTTCTTAACCGCAGAGATACGAAATTACCTAAAATCGTACGTTAATTCTCCCTAATTGATGCTCAGCTCGTACACAAAAATGGACAATTTGGGAAGCGGAGATACGATTATTCGAGCCTTGCGGCTAGTTTTTATAATTACCGATTGTCAACAACTATAAAAACGAGCCGCAAAGCTGAAATAATCGTACCTCCTCCTCCCAAATTATCTATTTTGGTTTTCAAGCTGAGAATTTATTGTATAAATTGTACAGTTGTCCTTTTATTGTCTCGCTCTGTTACTCATATCGAACATACTGTAGCACTTTTGTGCGTTGAACATTTTCTGAGTTGGACCAAACTCCAGACCAATCGACAGGAAATATAGGAAGAGTAATAACCGAGAGTTAGCCAATCATTCAGTCGTTCCGCTAGATTTTGCCCGAAGCAAAAATTTGAAGGTCAGTTATGCTGCGTAGGATCGTAAAATTGCATCTTCATCGTAACTGTAACTGGAAACTGTAATCGTTGAAAAATCGAAATGACACGCGTCGACTACTATGTTTTCCCAATTTTCTGCACATTTAAATTATTCGAGATCTTCCCATGTGGAAGAAATTCGTTAATACTGGGACTACAGAAATAATACAGTATTATTTTATTATCATTTTATTATTATTTTATTATTATTTTATTATTATTTTATTATTATTTTATTATTATTATTCTGTTATATTTATATTATTTTATTATTTATTATTATTTTATAGCTACCGATCGTCAACAACTATTCGTAAAACTAGCTGCAAAGTTCGTATAATCGTACCTGCTTTCCTCAAATTCTCCATTTTTGTTTCCAAGTTGCGGGTCAATTAGGGAGAATATACGGTAAAAGATGAATATGTTTATTACGATTGAGAATGAAGACTAAAACAAACGCTGAATTATAGAAGTTTCACCGAATTCGACGAAAATTCTGACACCTACGTTAAAAAACCTACCATGACGGTCATTATGACCGGTTTCACATTTTTCGTTTCAAAATTATTGTACTTTTAAGGACACCTCGTAGAAAATAATGAAGTCGATTTCTTAAATATGGAATAAGTTTCTTGTTTCAGAACTTAATTCTTCTTAGGTTTACGTTACAATAACCAAAACGAGAAATTTAAACAACTTCTGTCTTGTTATTCTTGTAAATCATCACGCGTCAGTCACTTTTGGTCATTCGACAGGTGTAGCGATAACAACAACAAAAAAACCCAAACATGTATCGACCACCTGTCTCTCTAAACATATTCATTTGCCATTAATTACGTGTGTAAATTGGGCGTGGCCGAGAATTACCGTTCAAGATCGAGACAGCTACGATACGTTAAACAATCTCTGACGTGTAAATACAGAAACCCATCCGAACCGTCTGCGCGATGTGATCGATGTTAAATGGCTAATGAATGATAGCGTGCAATTTTTTACCTCGCCGAATCTCGGCGCTACCGATGATTTAGTGGCAATAAAAGCGGCTATAGGACACAGAACTTCTCGCCCGAACAAACGACGCCAAAGACACGAGAGTTCGGCGCCGCAACGGCAAGAGAGTTCACGGCGACATGCTCGGCAGCGGTGCTCGATCACCATTGGAACTTTTAATACTGATTAATCGGCGCGATTAGTTTCAGTCGACCGAATCGTTCTTGCCTCGTCGTTTTAGCTCGGTAATTACTACAGTTTCGCGTGTTCGGCCGCGGAACCGTGTATCGCCGGATAAATCATCGAATTATTCGGCAATTAATTAGAGCCGCGACCGCTTTACAAATCGAAGACGCCTGAAATTGAGCAGTCATCGCGGACAAATTCGATTAGGAGTTAATCTGCGCGCGGATCGAATTATGAAAATGAACGAAAGGGGCGCGCGAGCGCCGGCTCGGAGCTCGCCGGAGAGCGGAGAAGAGAGAACAGCGAGAATGGAAGGATGAACGATCGATTTATTTGCGGCCGAGGATGAACGAGGCCCTTTGTCGTGCTCGCGTTGGCACGCCGCGGAGGAACACGTTACTGTAATTTGCCGCACTTTGTTTCAGAATGCTGCGGGGAAGATGCGTCTTCTAGTTCTCGTCCTGGTGGGCTGCTTGAACGTTCTCGGGATAACTCGTTGTCAAGAGCTTTCGGTCATCAGGCACTCCGATGGAGATATTTTCACGCTGGAAGGTAAAGCGGAGAGCAGCGCGCGCGCGGCGATAAATCTCTTTGGCACGAGTCCTCGAGCACCGTTTCTTCCGCGCCTCGTCCGCGGACGCGCAAAATCCACGGACAGATTCGGAATCCGTTGAAAAAACCGCTTCGAACCCCGTATACGAACGGAACTGTGAATCGCGCGCGATGGTGATTTGGCTCGCCGAGAAAGAGATCGTATGTGGAAGGACGGAGGAAGGACAGGGAGAAGAAATCGTAACGCGAGGATTTCGTGCGTAACCGTTCGAACACAAAAGGCGGCCGGGTGAAAAAGAAACGCGGCTGATTAACCATGAAATTACGATGTAACGGTCTGACAGCTGTATTTCACCTGTTCGGATAATACGACGCGTTTTGCTCGCGCTGCCGCGCGAATTTTCTCATCTCGGAAATATATCTTCGAGTGTGTCTCTCCCGTTGCTCGTCTCTGTACAGTTACTCGCGACGCGACGCGACGCGCTCGAAGACGCCGGCATTAAACGATCCGCGAGACAGTTTCTTACGCCGGCGCCGGAATAGCATAAATCACTCTGGAAACTGTTGATCTTCGCTAGGTTCCTGCACGGAAGCTTGCACGGTACTCAGCAGTGGCACCGCCAGTCCTTACACACGGAGCCCTTCGACGACCGGACTCGTTCCTCCTAACAACACCTGCACCTGCCAATGCAACCACGGGCTTCCTACCTTCCGCGAAGACCTCCATATCTGCGTGAACGACATCCACGGTGAGATCGATTATTATATTATCGGAATATGTAATCATTCCGGTGATATTTTCCTATTGAGAATCGTCCTCGTGCACTATTTCGTGCTTTCCCGCACGAATCCATGCGCGTTTGTTCTATTAATCTTTATACAGTTGACAAAAGATTTTCTTTAATATCTTTATAAATGATGCTTGTATTTGTTCGAGTGCTCTTTCCTGAATTTTGCTCTTACTATTTTTCACGATATTTTGATATGTCTTTTCTCAAACCTTGCCGAAATACATCAACTTAGATCAATTTCTTTCGCTTGGATACCTACAATATTTTCTGTTGGCACTAAAAAGGTCAACGCTCGTTTATCGCTTATTTATCAATTTTGATTGATATATTTTTTAAGGCATTCTTTCTTGACGCTGTTACTTTTTTTATCAAACTTAATGGAACACGTAAACGTTTAAATTAATTGTTGTAATATGTATACTTAATAATATACTATACTATAGTATATACTATATACTATAATAATAAAACACTAATAATAAAAAACTAATATAATAACTAATATACTATAACATATACTATAATTATATTATACATATTATAACATGGGCCTATGTTAATAATATTTATACTCTGGGTCCAAATGGACCCGAGCTCCGACGCACTTCACAGTGCAACAATTTAGCTTTTTCTGTTTCGAGACATCGTAAATGTTTGAAGTTAAAAATGGTGACGAACCTTACATTTACTGAAGGAAACTTCGATAACCTTGATCGTGACCTTGTCCGTGGCCTACTGTTCTTAAGGACTCTTCCCTCCGTAATCCAAAACAAATTCTAGTTCTTTAAAACTAACAAAATATAAAGAGCGATGTTTTCCCAACATTTTTATTTGACAAGACTATAACGAAAATTTAAACAATGCGTTTTACAGATTTCGGTAACTTATTATACATGCATACTGAAAGTTCTATCAATTTTTGCAAAAAATGTTTTACTCATTGTTTAATAAGCTAGTTAAACCAACGTCTCAAAAAGAATTCAAGTCATCTTGTTTTCATAGGAAAGTATAAAACGTATGAACAAGCAAACGATGTTTAACGTAAGAGTTAAACTTTTTAATATTACACTTATCGATATTTGAATTGGTGTTTTGAAGCGTGTTCAACTAAATGACCATAAATAATAAAATGATCGAAACAAATACGGCCTTAGTAATTTAATATATCGATCAACTTAAAAGTAACAAGATAGAATCTAGAAAATAATCTACTCAAACCATCGAATCAGAACGTCCTAGATAACATACGAACGGCAGGCTCGGGGTCCATTTGGACCCAGACTGGAAAAAATGATATTCGAATGTCAAGTTCCTGCTAATTAATCTCAATCATCAAATGTTTCGTCAAAACCAATAGAAAAACTATCGCAAATAAAACGAAAAACGATCGTAAGTATAGCCAGTTGTTTTTTATAAGAAAGGTCCATTCGTTCGTGGATTAATGAATTCACGTCTTTCCAATCAGTCCATCGATTCGCTAATTGGCACAACGTTTAGCGATCTGTTTTTCATCGAATTACTTCTGAAATTACGTTGGTAACGGTTGATCGTGCATCGACGACTCATCACGTCGTAATCCTCCCCCGTCGATCTAAGCCTGTTCCAACTATGCTTTGATAGCCAATCGAGGATAATCTTCGATATTTATTCCGTTCAGCGGCGCGCAGCTCGTTTCATCTCGCTGTTCCGCGAAAACACCGGCAGATATACCGTTCCCAGGATACCGCGGAAATTTCGCAAATCTCCGATCAAACGTTCCGAAGCGTTTCGCGTAAAATTCGTGAACGTTGACACCTCACCTTGCACCTCGATATCCCGCCGCAGCAGAATATCTTCCGGTGTTTGATTCTCGAGCGAGCGGTTTGCGCGCACGTACCGTTTTCAATCGAATCGTGTCATCAGAAATGATTGCTCCAACTGTTCAGGCAAATCGTACCCGTGCCGCGTGTTTCTAAATCGATCTGACCGTGGCGAAACGATGAACGTCCCGCGCTTTACAATTCGTTTGTCTTGATCCCGTACGACGCGAATCGTTACAATGTCCGCAGACGTCCGGGCGATCTGACGTGAATCGATCGCTCCAGATCAGTCGCTCCACGGCCAAGGTAGCGATAAAAATCCGCCGGGAGTCTCGGCTGATTAATAGAAACCGTCGGACACGCTTATTATCGAATGCAAATTAATCGGCTCGCGTAACGACCTACATGAGAAACGGCTGCGAGACGTGTAGTTAAATCAGCATAACCGTCGAGTTCGTCTTGATGACACTAATTAGACTGATTTGCAATTTGAAACGCTTCGCGTGGGGTCCTAGCTGCGGTGGGGACTTAATAGGCGGCTGTAGACCGAATCCCGTAACGCCACTGAAAAAACGACTGCCTCCAATTTCGGACGATTCGACCGCAAAACGATCGCGTAATGCGCTGCTCTTAGAGTCTCGTTACACTGGCACGAACGATCGTAATTTGGTCTTCTTGCGATACTCGGAACCTGTAATCCGGGGATCGAACGCGCGTAAGATTTCCGCGAACGCGTCGCCGTCTACTAAACCGCAGCCCGTCGGCAATCGTGTAACCTAAGTACGGAACGTTTGCAACAAAATACCTCGACGCACGAACAGTTATATACGCGCGTGTATCGCGGAGAGTTCCTAGACGATTGAGAAACTTCCAACGAAAAGTATCAACAAGGTTACCGGCAAGCGAAGCGTAGCTGTAAATTACCGATTGCGGTGGGATCACGCGCGGATTTACATCACTTAGCTGGCGAAAACGTGAAATATTATTCGCGTTGCCATTGGACGAAACGTTCGTGACCCTCGCGCACAGTTTCATCGTCCGCTTCTCATCGATCCCGCGGTTCCGAAGCGGCGAGGTCCGATAACGCGACGCGGGAACAGCCGCGTTGTCGCGTCGCGTGGGCGACCGGAGACTTCGATGCCCGCGCGAGACGCGACGACGCGCGGCGCGTGAAGAGACGCAACGCCCGTAGGCTGAACGCGTCCTTTGATTTTTATTGCAACGTAATGGAACTCCCTTTCGCTACGCTGGAATTTGTTGCGTGTCTACGATCTGCCCGGAAGCGGTTGCTATCGCCTGCTACTTTCCGGAGTTATGCAAATTAGATCTTCAATTTACGTCAAAATGAATCCGCATGGTTTCATTTCGCCTTCCGAGCGAAGGCTGGTCCGAATAAGCAATTTCATACGCACGCTTGTACAACGTTCTTTGTTCTTTGAGGCACGATGGGGTTAAAAATGTCCCGTCTTTTTAATGCACGGTAATGCATGGTGGGACGTTTAATATAATAATCTCGAAATACTGTAATAGCGGCATGCGCATTCATGAACTCACGTGGCACGGTAGGATTATTTGAGTCCCATCCTATAATAACAAATTGAATTGAATTATTATTTATTTTTTTTTAGGTTTTTATATTATGCGATTCCGTTGTTGATAAAAATATACCAATTTTGTCTAATTTAAAACGCAATAAAATTTTGTGTGCAACGTGGGTCTACCTTATTTTCTGAAATCCTGTTATGAAATTCCAAATAGTTAACACGTTAATTGCCGAATCAGTAATCTCAGCAATAACAAAGAGAAACTGGGAGGTTAGAATTAAGTAATAGCGCTGCTTTACAGAGTTTGCCGATTTTGATTTATCTGCCGAAACTAAAAACTGATTTGTTTGAATGAATTCGTAAAATTTGAAAACGAGACCTTCAATAAGTTTAAACCCGTTTTTGAGTACAAAAAAATATGTAAAAATGAATGGATTGGTGAAAAACGTTGACGTTTTAATCTTGGAATCGCCTCGAGCAAATCGTGATGTAGTAAAATTAATCTCTGCGAATTCTCTCTATGACCGCACGTAAACGTATGTTTTTTGAAGTCGTATATCTCCTAAAAAAAAAATATTAAATGGAACAAAAAATGTATAGTTTACATTTTATACCGATTTTAATTATTTCAGCTTTCTTGTTTATTAATTGTTACACGTTAGAGCATATTTGGTTTTGTTTTATATCCGCAGCTCCATATGAAGAAATATAAACATTGTTTTACTGTATTCACTATTATGAGTGACCGAAACAGAATTTCCCTCCATGATTTATTTTTGCAAATAAATGGAGCAGTTGGAAAAAAAATTTCGATTATTGCAATTGTTATTTGTAACTAAAAAATTTGAATCCATCGATCGTGCAATTTTTCGAACGATCTCTTTTACATTTCGCGATTGCAATAATTTCTTAGAAGGGAGAGAAAATTGATGCTTATTGTGTGCCTAAATTTACTTGAATGCTTAACCCTTTGCACTCGAGTGGCGGCTCTGAGACGCTACTAAAAATTGGTATACTATTTTTCAAAATCATTCCAAGAGCATCAGAGTCGTTTATATATATATATAAACATATGAAATTGAGTCTATTGGCAAGTACAATGCAATTTTAATAGCTTTTATATATATATATAAAAGCTATTAAAATTGCATTGTACTTGCCAATAGACTCAATTTCATATGCATAAATCGCAATAAATTGTATAAAATAGAAATATTATAGATCAGAAATCATGTTTTGGATTTCGAATAACAAATAGCTTCGACTGCAAAGGGTTAAATATTGATGCCAAGAGATAAGAGTTTTATTACAATTTTAAAGAACAGAATAACATCTGTATTCAATAATTTATAGAAATTTTCATTTTAGAAAATACGGCGAGGGGTTAAAATCTTCAAATGAATATCATTTTGCGTCCCTGGTAGAACGTATCGCACCTGTATCTCCCATTCTCTCGCACCTCACAGTTGGCACATCCTATGCCAGTGTAGAAAAAACGAATGTTTCAGTGTACAATGCGTTAGACAGTGTGAAATTTTCATTGGCACCTAACTTTAGGATACGGGAAACGCTCGGGGGAGAGTGACTATAATTACCTTCCGTAACGAAAGGGCTA